GCACTTCTCCAGAGGTTATCTGTGGGGTGGTTTTGTAGGACAACTGCAGGAGTCATCAGAATTTGGTCTCTCTTTGGGGCTGGATAGATTCTTAGAGATTGGTCTTAGAGGAAGATCTCCAACAAGATGAATGGATACAGTGGCTACAACAATGGGCTCCTAATGTAACAACTGTGAGGCCGGCAGAGGACTGGGTAGCATTTCCTTCTGTTGTGCAGAGGGTCTCTCTGAATTGGAGGAAACCTGATGAGGTGAGGGTTACGCTGTCCATGTTGAGAACCAAGTGGAAGAACATGGACAAGTTTTAATACCTTTTCAGTAAGGAATTCTGATCTCAACAGTGACTGATGTACTTATTATAAAGATCCTTTGTACTTCCTCTGGAGAAAAATTCTCCACTGCTGAGATGAAAGAGGAGGGAAGAAAATCTAGGTGGGGGTCTGACTATGACTTCTTAAACAAATTTTCAACCAATCTTATGTGTACCTGACCCAAGCCACGATATTTTCAAGTGCCTCATATGCATGTGAAAGTTGGACAATGAATAAAGAAGACCACACAATCGATGCATTTGAGTTATAGTGTTGAGAGGAATAGTAAAAGTACCATGGACTGCCAGAATAAATAAATCTGTGTTGGAAGAAGTACAGCCAGAATGTTCCTTAAAAGCCTGGAGGGACAGACTTCATCTCTCATACTTCAGAAATATTATCAGGGGGGACCAGTCCCTGGAGAAGGACATCATGCTTGATAAAGTAAAGGGTCAGCGAAAAAGAGGAAGATCCCCAACGAGATGGATGGGCACCGTGGCAGCAGCAATGGGCTCAAGTGTACCAATGATTGTGAGGATGGCACAGGATCGGGCAGGGTTTCATTAACTCGATGGCACCTAACAAACATTTATATAATCATTACTATGGGACAGATGGTAAGGTGGAGGGTCAGAGAAAAAGAGGAAGACCCCCAACGAGATGGGTTGGCCAAGTGGCAGCATCGATGGACTCAAGCATGGCAAGAGTAGTGAGGTTGGCCCAGGATCGGGCAGTGTTTCGTTCTGCTGTGCATAAGGTCGCTATGGGTCAGTACCAACTCGATGGCACCTAACAACAACATGTGACAGATACTTTTTATAAAGTTTTTCAAGAACCAATTACCTTCCTAGAGGTCTTTTGAGATAATATGAAAAAGCTAACCACCTTAAAAATAGCCCATTTCAACCAGAGATTTATAAACATGACCATTTACCTACTTCTAAATCTCTTTGAAATTTGAAGACAGTTATTAATTCACTTATTCATTAATATATTCATTCTTTCTTTCTTCCACACAATGTGTATTATGTATCCTCCAGGAGTCCTGGTGTGGCGCTGTGGGCTAACACATCAGACTGCAAAGTCATTTGAACTGCAATGTCAGTGGTTCAAGCTCACCAGCTGCTCCTTGGAAACCCTATACAGGGTCACTATGGATCGGAACCAACTCGACGGCACTTCACAACAATAACTTGTGCTAGGGGCTAAATTTAATCTAATCCCGGAGTTCCCAGTCCTGATCCAGAACTTCCCATTCATCAAGAAAACTGGTAAAAGATTCTGGGCTGCCTCCACAGGGTCTCTGGCCTCTGAGGAGGGCTGGCAAGTTTTCCTGTTTTTCATTCCTTTGTTTTGAAACAGCTTTCCAAGTGTTTCAGTAAATTCTAGAAATAGATGATAAACATCCAAAGATAGAGCCTTTCTTAGTTAGGGCAGAAGGACTTTCCAGTAATGAAGTTTGGCGGGGGACATCCACGATCCGTTGTCCCATAGTGAAAAATGAAGAATTAGTTTGGCGTGATGTAAACTGTTATTGTATACATCAACAAAACTTTGTTGCTCTCCAATCCTCAAAATCTTATCTTTGCCCCATTCCCCCAGGTTAATGAAAGCACTGGAATCTCTTAACAGAGATTTTCACGAGTTGCTTTAGCCAAGTAAAATAATCCAGAGACCCAGAGACTTTGGTGTTTTCAATAGGGGTATAGGGTTTCCCAGCTAGTGGGCTTGAACCACTGGCCTTGCAGCTAGCAGTCTATTGCTTATCCTACAGCGCCACACCAGGATTCCTGGGACCTTGATAACCGACAGTAAATCGGCTTTAAAACTTTATACAAGACAAACTAAAAGGAGCTCTGGTAGCATAGTGGTTCGAGTCAGGCTGCTAACCTCAAGTTCAGCCGTTCGAAACTACCAGCCGCTCTACCTCATCTACCAGGAAGAAAGATGAGGTTTTTAGACTTAGTCTCGGAAACCCTTTGCAGGATCGCTGAGACGCCCACAACACAAAACCAAAAGAGAATTGGAGCCAATGTGGTTGCGGGCACGCCCCTAGTGACCAATAGGGTGCTGCGCAATTGAGAGGTTCCTGTTTCCGGGGCCACATTCGTCTACTAGCCCCGCCTCTTCCTCCCAACGGGGACGTTGATTAGCGAAGGCGGGACTTACTGAAGGCGAGGTAAGAAAGGAGTTTTTCTGCATTCAGTATTAGAGAGGCAACAGTTTACTTGGTGTGCAGGCCCCTGAGTATTATACCATTGCATCTGTTTATCCCAAAGGCCTGGCCCTGCCAACACCTACCTTAAGGTGTGGTGCTGTAGGACGAAGCACCGGACACCAAGGTTGGTTTAAACCACAAGGTAGTTGGTTCAAACCCACCAATTGCTCCTCAGAAATCCTATACAAGGTCACTAAGAACCGACTCGACTGCACACGTTTAAGGTAGGAGTCCTGATGGGGTGCTATAGGAAAAGTACTAGCCTGCTAACCAAAGGTTCAAACCCACCAGACACTCCTAGGAAACCCTATAGAGTCAGAGTCAGGAACCAAGTCGATGACACTAACAATATGTAAGGCTAGACCTAGAGTTTATGCATTTAGCCTGAGTTTCCACCTCAGAATCTGAATACTATTTACATCTGGCTACCTTTCCTCGGAAACCCTGTACAGGGTCGCTATGGGTCGGAACCGACTCGACGGCACTTAACAACAACCTTTTGTTGTTAGGTACCATGAGTCCTTACAGGCTCATGGCTCATAGCAACCTTATTGTAGCCTGGCTTGAGCCCACTGATGCTGCCACTTTGCCAATCCATCTAGCTGGAGGTCTTCCTTTTTCTCTGACCCTCCATCCTACCAAACATGATATCCTAAAACCAAATTCATCAATAATTAACTGGGGTACATTCCAGAATCCAACAACATTCATTAGAGATGAAAAAAAAAAGAGTCCTGGTGTGGCATTATGGGTTAATGCCCTGGACTACAAAATCAGTGGTTCAAGCTCACCAGCCACTCCTCAGGAACCCTATATGGGTCACTATGGGATTCCATGGCACTTAAAAAGCAACTTTATATAGAAAAGGTGACCTCATACTGTTTAAGAACACAGTTGGAAGCCTTTCACTCCCTGATCTCAAAACTCACTACACAGCCACAATAGGCAAAACAGCCCAATGTAAGACACATAAATCAGTGGAACCAAATTGAGAACTCTGTACTTGACAAAGGGCCAAGCCAAAACACATTAAATGGGGAATCTTAAGTCTTTTCAACAAATAATGCTGGCAGAACTGGAAATCCATTTGTAGAATGAAACAAGACTCATAACTCACATCACATAGAAAAACAAACTCAATGTGGATTAAAGACCAATCTAAAACCTGAACTATATAAAAGATCAATGAAAGAGACAAACACAAACAGAAGACAAATAGATGACTGGCAACAGTAAAAAGGGTGACCACAAACTAGGAAGTATTTGCAATGATTTATCAGATAAGATTACTATCTAAAATTTATAGCAAACTACTATCACTGAGATGAAAGCATGTAACTGTTGAATGTAAAGCTGAAGATCTGTACACCTTCACATAACCATTTAGAAACATTAACTGTGGTAATAGCCTTTGATTCAGACAGGGAGTATATAGCCAAGTCTCTAGTAAGAATGCTTTCCAGAATGCATTTTGGACATTAAGTGCTGTGGGTGATGTCGTGACTCATAGCCACCCTGCACAGGGTTTCCGAGGCTGTAAATCTTTACAGGAGCAGAAAGCCTCATCTTTCTCCTGCAGAGCGGCTGGTAGTTTCAAACTGCTGACCTTGAGGCTAGCAGTCTAATTCATAACCAGGTTCCATATAGGAGTTTGAGTTGCAGCTGGTGGATATGAACCTCCAACCTTGTGGTTCAGTCCTGTGCTCATACTACAGTACCATACTTTTAATACACAAGTCAGAAAAGGGCTTCAATCCCTATTATGGCCTCTGAGGCTGTGTCCTAAACATGCACTTTGTTCACTGTCAGACTGGCACTTGCCACTTTGTGTAAAAGGCGAGCTTGAACTGCTGTCTAGTACATTTCCTGCAGCACTGCATTAGGTCTCTTTTAAGTGTTAGAAAAGGTGTCACTTTGAGGTCTATGGGGCGGGGCCCCATAACCAAAGCTATTTTGATATGCACCCTGACAGCAGGATAGTGAGACTGATTCCTGCACTGAAATCCTGGTGTGGCTAATGCTGAAAGCCTTAGGGATGCTGGAACAAAGGGTCCTGGAGAAGATAGAGTGCTGTCACCTGGAGGGACTGCTAACCAGCTTCTTGAAACCCTATTACCTCCTAACACAGGGCTGCTGTGAATCACAACCAGGAGGGAGCAATCCTTAGAAACGACAGCATGCTTGATAGAAGATGTTGTAGTGTGTGAGGTCAGAGTCCAAATTACTAAAATATTGGGAGTCTTCCCCCATTGTAGTATAAGCACTGGACTGCTAACTAGAAGGGCAATGGTATAGGGTTGCTGAGTCTGAACAGACCAGATGGCACTTAAGTTTCATGCCTAGACATGATGGCAGGGTACAAATCCAGCTCATGTGTGGTGGGAGATGAGAAAGGCTGAAGGTCAGTGTGGCAGAGGGAGACCATCTTTGCAAACCACATCCCCAAATACTGCTCAGATCAACAGCAGCAGAGTTCAGCTGTTTATTGAACATGTTACAAAAGGGAGTTAGTCAAAAAGACCAAAGCCCATGTCATCATCGGACTCTTCAGACTCTTCTTTCTTTGCTTCCACTTTCTTCTCCTCAGCTTAAAGAAAATTAAAAAAAAAAAAAAAGTGCGTCAAAATCACATCTCACTTTGAACCCATAAAAATTGCTCTCCAGATCATTCAACTGAAATGGTCAAAAATTCCCAGACACCCCGCAGCACCGTTGAGCACTGCAGATGTTTTTAGATCTCCATGTATCAGCCACTCAATGATCTTGACCTACACAAGTTGTTTTCCACCTTCCCTCAATATGAACAACTCAACGGCTTCCTACCTGGGGCAGCAGCGGTGGTGGGGGCAGGTCCACCTGCAGGGGCAGCACCAGCTGCTGGAGCAGGTCCACCAGCCCCGACGTTGCAGATGAGACTCCCGATGCTGACGTTGGCAAGGGCCTGCAAAGAACACAGGCATAGGCAACGCTCAGTGCGGCCACGCTGGTTAGTTCTCAACCGGCAGACACACCTTGGTGAGCTGCACCAACTCTAGACTTTTCTTTCATGTATGCTGGAGCTCTGGTAGTGTAGTGGTTATGAATCGGGCTGCTAACCTCAAGGTCGGCAATTCGAAACGACCAGCGTTTTGCTCCCGTATGGGAAACCCTGTGCAGGGTCGCTATGAGGCAGAACCTACTCCACGGCACATAACCACAACATGCTGGAGCTACCTTACGTTTTCTGTCTGCTAATAACAAGTGTTCTGGTTTGGTTTTTTATTGGTTAAGACTGACTTTCCCCTACAAAACCAAAATTAAGGTTGGAGGTTCCAAGCCACCGGAAGTGAGTCTACAACATTAACAACAAACTTGTTAGGAAATCCGAGTGTCCTGAACCTCTGAAACCAGGAGCATTTTCTACAGGTCCGTGTCTCCAACGGTCATCTCAACGTTTCCGAGGCCTCAGTGCAGCCACAGGCTAGTAAAGGTCCCCCAGTCGCAGGCTCAGTGGTTCAAGCTGTCCAGCCGCCCCTCAGAGCCTGTAGAGGGTCCCTACGCGTGGTAAGGGGCCTGGCAGCATTTCCGTGGTGGACACCGAGTCTCCTGGGGCTGTGCGCAGGCGCGCTGACCTGAGCACAACACGACAGCCGCACACGCAGCTCACTGAGCTGACCACAACACGAGCGGCCCATGTGCAAACTCTGCGGTTAGTTTCGGTCCCTTTCAGAATGGCGGAAAACCCAATGCAGACACCAGAACACCAACCCCAAAGAAAGCATCCATCAAACTCCCCATCAGGGCGGCGGTGGGTGGGAAGCGGCCCGGCGGCCCTCGTCCCGCTCAGTTAGCAGGGAACCCGTCTCCCCACTTGGCCGCGGGTCGTCTTACCTTCGCGAATAGGCCTGGCCAGAAGGGCTCCACGTTGACGCCGGCAGCCTTGATGAGGGCGTTGATCTTGTCCTCCTATAAGAGAAGGGCCGTCGTCAGCCCCAACCCCGTCCCCGGAGCCATTCCCGGCCAAACCAACCCCAAGCACCCACACCGCGCGGCCCGCAGGACACCCCAAGTATCGCCCTCGTTCTCTCTTAGTTAAGGTTCTCGGAGCACAGCCGCCGGCTCCATCCAGACTCGTGGGGGGGGGGGGGGGGGGGGGGGGTTCACATAGATGAGGAGTCCTGGTGGCGCAGCAGGTTGAACTTTGGGGGGGGGGGGGCGCGGAGAATAAGACACGCGGCCCGCCGTCCCTGGCTTGCCCGCCTGGGCGGACACGTGGGACTCACCGTGACGGTCACTTCATCGTCGTGAAGAATGAGGGCCGAGTAGATGCAAGCGAGCTCGGAGACGGAGGCCATGGTGCGGGAGTGCTAGGCTGGCGGCTACCGGGCGCGGTGCTAGTCGCCGGATGAAGTGAGGGCCTCACCCCAACGCGGCCTTAGCTTCCTCGGAAGAACCGAGCACCTTAGCGGCAGCTGAGGAAAGAGGTCTGCGCGCCTGCGCGCAGCAACTTATAATGTTCACGCGGACCAATCAGCGCGCACTTCTGGCGGAAAAGGCGGAGCGAGAAGCGCCGGTGAGAACAGTCCTGAAGCGCCTGCGCACAACATGTCTAGTTGTTGTAGAGTGCCACAGCGTCGGTTCCGATCCATAGCGACCCTGTGTAGGGTTTCCGAGGAGCAGCTGGTGAACGTGAACCGCAGACCTTGAAGTTCAAATGGCTTTGCAGTCTGGCGCATTAACCCACAGAGCCACACCAGGACTCCATCCTGTACCATTCATCAGGTCATCCGGTACCCTGATTTAAAAAGTTGTTCGGCGTCTTGATTTGGGCTCTTGAACTTTATGAGGAACTCTACAGTAGCCTTATGACACTTTATTATTGTTGTTCAGTGCTGTCGAGTTAGTACCAACTCATAGCGATATTCAAGTGGCCAGCCAGTCTATTTCAGCAGACGGTGACCTCTGGGAAGGCCCGGTGCTTGCTCAGTGACTTGGTTATAAGTAAATATTTGCTGTTGGTAAGTGCCATTGAGTAGGTTCCAACTCATAACGACCCTGTGTAGGCTTTCTGTCTGAGGAGTGGCTGGTGGAGATGAACCGCTGACTTTGAGTCCAGCTCATTAATCCACAGCACCACACCAGGACTCCATAAGTAAATATGATGGAGGTGATGGTTATGTTCTGTGGAGTTGGTTCCGACTCATAGCGACCCAGTATAGGGTTTCCCAGGCTGTAAATCTTTACGGGAAAATCGCTCGGAATGGCTGGTAGCTTGGAACTTCTGACTCTCCCTAAATAAATATACTTTGAAAGAAAATGCTTTTAAGACAGCTGTAGATTTTAATATACATATATTGAGCCTGGTGTGCTGAACTGCTAACTGCATGGTCCGTGGTTCAACCCAGCAGTCTCTCTTTGGAAATCCTATACATGATTGTTATGAGTCAGAACTTAACAGTAATGTATTGAGCCACACTGCAAGGACTCATTTAATCCTCATACAATTTGCTCTATTTTACAGGTGACAGATTTATTTTGGGAAACTGCTTTGTTCAGCCAGTGCCATTATCTCATAATGACCCCTGACCAGCCTTCTCCGAATTTCCCATTTTAGGGTCCCACTTGGGGCAATCTTAGCCAACAAATATAAATGCGTGTGGTGCTATAAGATAAGCACTGAACTGCGAACTTTAAGGTTGGTGGTTCAAATCTACCAGCTGCTCTTTGGAAACTCTGTATAGGGTTGCTATGAGCTGGTACTGACTCTAAGGTACTTCACAGCATCACTACATTTAAATATGTTTAACTTGTATATTACTAGTAGACTGTGTTATATGTTGGCACAATCACTTTAACGAGTAAAAGTAAAAACATAGTTAAAGTTAAAAATGGTCCTACCTTCAACCCAGCAATTTACCTATACATAATCCAGTCTGATTTTACCCCAGACGGACTGGAATATGTATATTCCAGTACAAGACTGTTCCCAGAGCACTGTGTGCATACGGAAAATTGGAACCAGTCTCTCAAAAGGCATATTGATAAAAGTGTGGGATCACATAAAGCAGTGAAAATGAGATGTGTCAATCAATATTCAGTATGAGTGCAAAAGTAAGGAAACCACATAGTCGTCTCCATCCTTTAACTGTATTACCTAAAACAGAACATTTTGCTTCTGTTCAGTATCTGAGTGGCACAGATCAAATTATTGAAAACTCTGGAGGCCAAAACACTAAATAATGTTAGGTATATTGAGTCCTGGTGTAGCACTGTAGGATAAGCACTGGACTGCTAACCACAAGGTTGGTAGTTCAAAACCCCCTTGTAAACTCTGTTCAGAATTTCCTGTCTAGGAACTGTTGAGTCAGAAGTGACTGAACAGCACATAACAACAATGATCTGAACAAACAATTCTGGTTTCTAAACCATCAGAAATTACCAACTAAAAGTATCCAGCCACTGAGATGAGTGCCTGGAACTCCACTCGCCCCCGTGGTCCAACTTTCAGCCACATCATAGACAGGTCTGTGTCGTTGCTGTTAAGTGCCATTGAGCTGGTTCCAACCCTTAGCGACACTGTATAGGGTTTCAGAGGCTGTAAATCTTTGAGAGCAGAAAGCTTCATCTTTTTCTTGTGGAGTACCTGGTGAGTTGGAACCGCGGGCCTTGTGGTTCGCAGTCCAGTACTCCTATCTCTCTGCTCCAAAAATCCACCCAATATATTGTCCTCAGGTAGCAGGCGTATCAGATATTAAACGTAAGAGCAGATACTACACTTGATCTGAGCCAACAGACCGTGAAGCCTAAAAGGGGAACAGTAGCACACTGCTTAGAGTAACCACCTTATGAAATCAAAAGGGCAGCATTTGCCCAGGGATAAAACTCAGAATCAGGAAAGGGTAGAAAGGAAGAATGCAAATGGTAATCACAGGGAGGAAATGGAGAGTGCTGTTATATTATAGGACTGTAATCAGTGTCATCAAACAAAATGTATATCAACTGTTGAATGGAAAACCAATTTGCTCTGTAAACTGCAAGGTCAGCAGTAAAAAGCTCACCAGCTGCTCCTCAGAAACCCTATTCAGGGTCACTGTGGGTTGGAACCGACTCAGTGGCACTCAATTCATTAGAACTGGAGTCCTGGTGTGGTGCTGTGAGTTAATGCACAAGGTTGGTTAGAACAAGATGGACAGTTCAAGCTCACTAGCTGCTCCTTGGAAACCCTATACAGGGTTGCTGAGTCAGAACCGACTTTACAGCACTCAACAATAAAATTCTTTAGAACTATTTAAGAAAACATCAGTTGCCCAGGCATTGCTCTGTGTTTTTTATAATCTAAGGATTTAGCGATTGAACATACTGTTCTTTAAGACAGTGTTGTCAAGCGTTGCTACTAGGGTTCACTTACACATGCATGGATTTGTTCCAAACAAAATGTGCTTAAATGCCTGTCTGTGATGAGTGGATGACTGCAGACAAATTCTCAGTTATAAATGTGTCTTAGTCCCCTAAGGGAATCCTGGTGTGGTGCTGTGGGTTAATGCGCTGGACTGCAAAGTCAGTGGTTTGAACTGCAAGGTCAGTGGTTCAAGCTCACCATCCATTCCTCAGAAACCCGATAGAGGGTCACTATGGTTCAGAACCAACTTGACAGCACTTAACAAGAAGTTTCCTCAACCGTAAGAGAAGGAGTCTTCAAGGATCAAACGTATCCCCTTTGTACACAGGGTTAGGAGGGATGGGCAACTTAGACATTGGCTAAAATGGTGTTGAAGAGCAAAGATGTCAGCTTGAGGACTAAGGTGCACCTGACCTAAGCCATGGTATTTTCAGTAATATCATATGCATGTGAAAGCTGGACAGTGAATAAGGAAGACCGTAGAAGAATTGATGCCTTTGAATTATGGTGTTGGAGAATACTAAAAGTGCCATGGGCTGCCAAAAGAACCAATAGATCTGTTTTGGAAGAAGTGCAGCCAAGAGTGCTCCTTGGAGGCCAAGATGGCCAAACTTCATCTCTCATACTTTGGACATATTGTCAGGAGGAACCAGTCACTGGAGAAGTATATCATGTTTGGTAAGGTGGGGGGCCAGAAAAAGAGGAAGACCCCCAACGAGATGGATTGGCCATGTGGCAGCATCGATGTACTCAAGCATGGCAACAGTAGTAAGGTTGGCCCAGGATCGGGCAGTGTTTCATTCTGCTGTGCATAAGGTCACTATGGGTCGGTACCGACTTAATGGCACCTAACAACAACAACATAAAGGCATGATTGGCTGACGTACGAGTTTTTAAAAGAAAGAATTTAGTTTCAGAGTATGCAGGGGGAAGGTAGAATTTCCACTGAATAGCTTTCGTCTTGACTAGACAGGTGTGATAAAAGGAGATGGGGATAAGATTCTTATGATTCAACAGTAATTGTTATCATGACTAACTGCGACTGTCACAACTGTAAAGGTACAAATTCTGGAACATAAAAGGGGGAGTAGCTAATCTTACAGTCTGGAAACGACCCTGGGACCATCAAGGGAGAATTTGGGACCCTATCCAGAGATGGAGGCAGAGATGAGGACATGGAGAGATAGCGCAGCTGAGGACTCTACATTCATGAAAAGAGAAAGGCTATGTGCTGGCAGCCAGGAGGCAGGCTTGCAGAATGTGCCCTTGGGTTGTTTAAATGACTATATACTCCTGGTTTTGTGAACATTAAAACAAACAAAACCCCAGAGGGAAGAGAAGCAAATACTGTTGAATGATGATGCATGGAGGGAATTGTAATAATTGCAGTGAAATGAAATATGATATAGATAGGAGGGTAAAACCGATGTTCTCACATGTAAACTGTCACTCAGTGCACAATATAAACTTTTTTTTAAAAAAAAAGCTCTGGACTGACATCTTACAGCGTTCCAACTAGAGATGGTATGCTCCCTTCAGGAACAATTTATCTTATTCTGTGACTCTACTGCCATCACTGGCCTAAACAGAGCACTTGATAAATTCTTGTTGAATAAGTAATGTGGAAGAGTAATAAGCTAATAAAAACAAGAAAACACAAATTTTGCTGAAAGTAGGTTTGATCATAATAAATCCTGTCCTAAAGAGAGAGAAAAAAAAAATAGAGGTTTCCTCAGAGTACCTTTAAAACAAAGATCCAAACAAAACAGTAGCTTCTCAGGGGATTGCTGGGCCAGAGACGTCAGCTCAGAGTATGGCGACTTCTTTTTGGAGATCGCAAAGGGGTACCTGGTGTAGTGCTGTGGGCTAATGCATCAGACTGCAAAGTCATTTGAACTGCAAGGTTGGTGGTTCAAGCCCACCAGCTTCTTGGAAACCATATGCAGAGTCACTATGGGTCAGAATCGACTTGATGACACTTAACAAAACGGGTACTGGTAGCGTAGTGGTTATGAATCGGGCTGCAAACCACAAGGTCAGCGGTTCGAAACTACCAGCTGCTCCACAGGAGAAAGATGAGGCT